GCCGAGAACAATCCATGACCACCTTCATTCTATGGTTTGCAAAGTAGCTCCCAAGAAGAATAATGCAACCCCGCACTTCCATTATTTTTATTCCACAAGAAGCCTCTACACATCTTGTCAAACTCTTAAAGTATACCCAATGGTACTAACGAAAGAGAAGATAAAAACATTGGTAGAGAAAGCAATGCAGATTTTACCAAAACCAACTACCTTCCAATGAAATGCAATTTTTCCACCAAGTGTTCAATTTGTTAGAAGCTACCACCAAAAGCTTTTGAAAATACAAATCCACCATCCTTCTTAAAGTAATCTTCACACCAAGATAACTCATCTCTTTCACCACGTTGAACCTGAGAACTTTTTTAATTTTCTTCTTCATCCTTCAGTTGATATGCTTCCCAAATAGAATCATAGAATTGGATTGATTAACATTTTGACCCAACCATTTGTAATAGTTGATAACAATGTTCTTTAACTCCTTAATCTCCCTAACATTTTCTTCCGAGAACATTAAGATATCATCTAGGTGCCTTAGGAGTAATAGAAATTTCCAATCCACTTCTCATTAGATTTAGTGCATCAGATAAAATTTGAGAACATAAAATAAACAAATAGGGTGATAAAGGACACCCTTACCTAAATCCACTCTTTCCTTCAATCTAATCAGTTTTCCTCCCATTAATCAAAATGCAATATTTAGGTTCAAAAACACATTGCAATATTAGCTCCATAAACTTGCTATGAAAGTTAAAGTGAATAAGAACTTGCCTTAGAGCTTGCCACCCCGTACTATCTTATGCTTGCTCCATGTCAAGTTTGATAGCCAAAAGATATTTTTTTCCTTTAGAATACCGAAATTTGTTGAAGACTTCTTGAGCCAACAACACATTCTCTGACATGGATCGGCCTCTAATGAAAGCTGCTTGATCCACCGATATGATTTTATGAATTATCTTCTCCAATCTATTCAACAGCATCTTTGCAATGATTTTATAAATAGTCATACAAAGACTAATAGGACGAAAGTTAGAAGCCACCTGAGGATTTTGGATCTTTGGGATTAAGACAATCAATGTCTCCTTCCACGAATGATGAATTACTCCTGAAGAAAGAAATTGGTTCACAGCTTGTCATACATCATTCTTAATCCATTTAAAAAATATTTAATAAATGAGAAGGTAATCCCATCAAAATCGGGGGAGATATTCCTCCCAGCCTTGCCCACAACCACCTGCAGCTCCTCCCATCTGAAATTCGCATCTAGACTACCTTAATCATCTTCATCAATAACTACGGAAGGATTTGACAGCCCTCTAGTAAGCAGTCCCTATACTTCCACTTCAGTTTGAAAAATTTTGAGAATGCTTTCTGTATTTCAGCAGAATCCACCGTCACAATGTCTGCACTTGTTTTAATATGACTTATCCAGTTATAGTTCCTTTTAGAATTCACAAATGCATGAAAAAATGAAGAGTTATAGTCCCTTTCTTCCATCCACATTACTTTTGCTCTTTGCTTCCACTATGTATTGAGCCGGGCAAGGGTAATATTGAGCTCATTGATTTTATGTGTGAGAACCTGCAGCCTCTCAAACGATATCCAATCTTCTACCTCCTCCATTTGGATTTCCATAATCTCCTCCTTCAACTTGTCCCACAATAAGTTCAGATTTTTCAACTTAGCTTTGCTCCAAAAAATAGAGCTCTTAAAGTTGTCTTGAACATCAAATTTAAAGATGTGGCCGGGTCACTCCTACAGTTTTTCTTCCATGTCTTCTCCACAATAGCAGCTTCCCCATGGTAAGATGCCCAAACATCTTCATAACAGATCCCTCGTTATAAAACTCCATTGGTTTGAAAATCTCCAGAAGAATAGGATAATGGTCCGAAGCTATCCGAGATAAGTGTTTCACCAAGGCAAGATGAATGGAGTTCAATGCAGAGGAGTTAATTAGACACCTGTCCAATTTCTCTAATATTTTTGTTCCTCCAGATTTATTATTGTACCAAGTGAATTTGGGTCCCATAGACCCAACCTCATGTAGATCATTGTTGATCATGAAATTCTTCATATCCTTTGAGCCTTGAGACATGATGATATTTTTCACACCTCTTTTCTCCTCTTGGGAAAGAACACAATTAAAATCTCCTCCCACCATCGTAGGCCAATCAACAGAGCAATGTCTCTATAAGCAGTCCCATAAGAGTTTCATGTCCTGTGCATTAGTACTCCCATACAGCATCCCTTGTTAAGTACCTCCAATTTTCTAATAATCAATTGAGCTGAGACTTCAATCACCAAGAAAGATTCTAAGTCCTTTCTCCATAATACCATCAATCCTCCCGAGAGACCATCAGAAGGAACCATATAAGATTCCCAATTGTTTCCCAAAAACTTCAAAATTTTAATATTTTCTAAAGAGCTTATCTTAGTTTCCATCAAGCCCACAAATAAAACATTGTTATCTTTTTATCACCTCCTTCAGATACAGAACAACCTTCACTTTCTTGGCTCCTCTACAATTCCAGAATACCAAGGAAGTCATTGCTTAAAAATAGGGGTAGGACCCCCATTCTTTTTAGCTTTTCCACCCTTCATCTTCCTATTATGAGCAATTATGTTACCCGAACCAAGAGATTTAACCTCTTTAAGAGGCTTCACTTTCTTACCAGAGCATAAGTTTTCTACTACAGCAACACTCAAAGTACAAAATGTAGAGAGAGTTGCTATTTGCATATTTTACATTCTTGCAACTTGTATTATTTTGATGATTTCAAATATTATTGTTTTATATATCTCCTACACTTTTTGGAATATTTTCTTTTGCTCTATTGAGTACTAACATTTCAGGAAAATCAACTCCAAGTGATGAAGACTTCAAATTATTCATTTGTAAATTATAAGTTTTGAAATGAGAGGGAGTGATTGTAATTGAGTGAAAAATCACAACACACACTCTTATGGGAACAATTTTTGTGAGCTGATCGTACAGGATGAATTTGGTTCGTACGGGGCGATCATGTCAATTAACCCCTAGGAAGAGCAATGGATCAAACAGGCGGGTAGAAATTTTTTTTAAGTCCTAATCGTCCAGGATGAATTTTATATTCGTCCTGGAACGAACGTCTCTGGATTCTCACCTTGCACTGTTCCTCCAGACGAAATGAACCTTCGTCCCTGGACGAAACTCTCTGTTTGAGATCGTACAGGACCAAATTAACCTTCATCCCTGGACAAAACTCTTCGTATAAAATCGTTCCAAGACAAATCTTGTTCGTCCCAGGATGAACTGAACCGACTTACCTCAGTTGGTTATGTCCTGTAGAATTTTGGGAACCGACCTATGTAATAACCGTTTCATGCCGGACGAACCAAGTTCGTACGGGACGATGAGCGTGTATGAACATAGTTCGTACCAATATACATTAGGATCATTTCCGACACTTTAAGTAAAATCATCCGGGATGATTCACGATCGTACGGGACGATCCACTGCGTACATAATTGAAAACTTATAATTTTCGGGCAGTTTTTCTTGTCTTTTGTATATATAGTCCAAATTAGACTGCGACCCAATCTTTTTGCTCATACATTTACGTGCCTATTGGAAGAAGAGTAAAGGAGAGAGTGAGAGAGAGAGCATTCAAAGAAGGATTTCTACCACTGGAGCGTGAAGGCTTCATATTTTGACTAATTCTCCTCATTTTATTGCACTTTTAGTTTTTTCGTTGTTATTTTCTTTAAGTTTTTTTATTGCATCATTGCATGTCCTCATATATTTACTTAAGTCGAGCATATTTTTGATCAATTTTTTGCTACGTACCATAACAACCTACTTATAACTCGTTTAATTGTTTAGCTCATTATATACATAAATGACAATTATGAGACATATTGTAAACTCTATAAAGTTCATATTTCTCTCCTTAGTTGATGCACGCTTTCATGCTCTTTGTTTAGCTTTACTTTAAATTTTAGCTCATTTATTGATCCCGACGGTTTTGGGAACAATTATATTCCATGTGTGCATAACCAGCTCATATAAAGAAACCATAATAACCCTCTCATTAGATATTGGGAAGATTTATGATAAAGTTTTATAGAAATAAAATGATGATTAATTTTTTCATAAGATTAATAATATTATGTGAAACTTTTTTTTTTTTTTTTACACTTATCAAATAGTTCTTATATGAATGGAATCCCATCCTTGGATATATAGTGATTGAGAAGATCTTCAATATAGTTATGAGATGTACTTACATGCTACAATGACTATATTAGTTGAAAATATTGAAATGTGCTATTAAAAAAACTTAAATTATAATCGGTTGGTTAACAAAGATGAAAGAGAAAGATGAGGGGGAAGACATAAGATGGAGATAATTTGATAATAGAAATCAAAGGGTGACAAGGAAAAGAATGAAATAGAACATTCTTCATTATTATTTAGATTTTAGGATATAGATTTTAAAATAGAATAGCAACTATATGGATTTTATTATTAATAATTTAGATGGAGGTGGCCTAATGAATGGGTTGAGTTCTTTCTTGGCTTTGGAGTTTTTTTTTTGTTTGGGGGGAGGGGGGGAATTGACTTTGGAACTTTAATGTTTAAAAATAATAAATAATAAATAATAATTATATATATAAAGTTTAGAAAATATATAAGTTACTTAGGAGTTAGGATCCGTTTAAAACTAAAAAAAAATAAAAATAAAAGTTACTTATAATCTATTTGGAATACTTATAATTTTTTATAAAATTAATTATAAAGTTACTATAAAAATATAATTTTTTGAAGTTATTTGTAAAAGTATATTTTTAATATAAATTTTAAAAAAAATAATGATGAAATATAAATTATAATTGTGATTAAAAAATAAATAAGTAAAAATTATGACAAATGAAAATTTATATTTATTTATTTATTTTAATTTTGTTGAACTCTATGAGCTGTTCATTCCACTTCCGCCGCGGATTTTACCAAGCTAACCCTAGTCGAAGGAATTCGAAATTCACGACAATATTCTTCCCATTTGGTTCTTTTTCGATGTCTGCGATTGCAAGCGTAGTGGGATTACCTTCCGTTGCTTTCACAAAGCCGGCGCGGCGGAGGGCGGCCGTGGCAATGGCTACTCCGGTGGCGGAGAGGGCGGCGACGACGGTTGGAAGAGGGCTGTATGGCGTGCTGGGATTGAGCGAAGCGGCGAGCATGGCGGACATAAAGGCGGCGTACCGATCACTGGCGAAGAGGCTGCATCCTGACGTGGCGGGCGATGCCAACACCAGGAAGTTTATGGAAATCCAGCGGGCGTACTCGACGCTATCGTATTCGGAGGAGAAGGGGAGGTATGATCGATCGATCGGGCGGGTAAGGTTGGGGATCCAGCGAGATGATAGATTTCGGCCGTCGCGGAGGTGGGAGACTGATCAGTGTTGGTAGAAACTTTGGTTTTGATTGGGGATTGTGTAATCTGTAAATAGTAGAGATCTGGTGGCGCTGTGGCTTTCCGGGAAGTAGATTGAAGCTTCTATCAGGGATTTTTCTTTCTGATAATTTTCTGTTGTAAAAGGCCGAAGTGGAAAGGTAAATTGAAATACATAGCTTTATCGTTCAAACACGAATCTCATGCTTGGGTTTTTATCATTTTAAGCTTTATTTGCGAAGAATTTCTGCGTGCAATCATGGCGTAGAAGCTATCCTGCCGACATGCTTGCAAAATTTTAACTGGTTGAATGCAGGAGGCTCCAAGTTACGGCTTTGAACCGATTGCTTTTTCTTTACTTGCAAAAAAATCTTAGATATTTTTTTAAACTCATGGCTCATAAATTATGAAATTTATGATATTAAAAGGAAAAAAAAATCATTATTGATCATAAATCCTTTCCACCCATTCTCGATAATTTCCAAGTTGCGGGGAGACAATTATATTGATCATTGTCATATCCTTGTCGACATCTTCGAATTTAACGATCTCGCGTTATTAAAAGTAATAATATATATTCCAAAAAAAAAACAAGTAATAATATATATTGATATTTTTTTTTTTTGGGACATTTAGGCCATTTAAGTCAAACTCACACACACAACTCATACACAAAGACTCGAACCCTAGACCTCTTGGTTGGAAGCTGTGTTGATATCTTAACAAAAATTAATTTGATTGGACGTGACTTTTGAGGTGCATTTGAAATTAAAAAATTTTCAAAATTAAATTTATGATCATTCAAAATTAAAATTGAATGTATTAATAAAGAGAGATTATTATGTGTGGTCATCCAATTATCCGGAAATTAATTATGGTGAGTCACGTCATTCGATATTCAACGGTATAAAATAACGGTACAACACAGCTCTCCTTGGCCTGTTGGTTGAGAGCTAAGGCTTTCAACTAAGAGGTCTAGGGTTTGAGTCTATGTGTATGCATTGTGTGTGTGAGTTTCCTTTAAATGGCCTAAATGTCCCAAAAAAAATATAATAACGGTACATAACATATTTGTGACATGGATTAGCTTCCGAACAACATATGATGACCATATGTAATAATTTCGCCTTAATAAAACATATTCATTGGCACAAAGCGAACAAATTTAAGATAAAATAAGTTTGGATCAAGCACTTGTAGTATGATTATAAAATTAGGAATATTAACTAATGATGAAATTATCTCTAAATTGGACATATAGAGTCAAATCAAGCACCCCGATGTCACGATCACATAATTTTGGCATGATTAAAGCTCTTAAATTTAGAAAGAATGTTTTATGATCGAGAAATTCAATACATGTTGTTCGATGGAGTGTCTTAGATTTTAATTATATTTCTAGGGCATACGACTTTAAAATATTTAAGCCCACATACTCTACATGGAAGGAAGCTTGAACCTTTGGCTTCTTATTCTGAAAAGTTTAGAATCTTGAAGAATCCATGAGCTTCCCCGAGCATCACAGTCAAACAATTGCTTAACTATAACATGAGCACCAATGATAAATCACAGCTCGAGTGCCATCGCCAGATCATTATTTGACAATCATTCTTCAACCATCATCATTAGAGTACTGATAGACCATTGCCATCAATTCATTACTCGACCACGATCGCCTAACCGTGGCTTTACAATCATCGTTACTTAACTATGGTCTTCTGACCACTATTGTCTAAATGTAGTCCTATGATTACCATTGTCTAACTATAGTCTTTCAATCACTATCGCCTAACTACGCTCTTCCTAATATTATCGCCTAACTACAGTCCTCCAAATGCCATCGATTGATTCCAAAACCCTCGACCACCATCAACTGATTGTGCTCCCTTAATCATTATTGCCTGACTATAGTTCCCTTACAATCATCTCCCAACCACCACACCCAACTGGGGTCAAAGATCTTTAACCATCATTGTCATATTATAGGCATCCAACAACCAATGCCCAACTCTAATGCTTTGATCAGCATTACCCAACTTCTTCTTCAGATAGTTTTATTTGAACTTTTTTTTGGAGTCGCACAAACAGTTTTTGATGTTTTGGATTCAAATTTGGCACTTTCAACTCCCAATAAAGCGTCTAAAATCAATTTCAAGCAATTTTAAATTTTTTTAGCAAAACTTCCTGGCCTTTTTTTTTTTTTTACTCTGATTGACAAACTGAATTCATGAAATACTGAATTTATACTTAAGGAGGTTTTACTTGGTTCACGACTCTAAGGAGAGATCCACGTTAACATCTACGGAGTAATCACATCTCAATTATAATGTTATGTCACAAACTTATTGAAAATTTTAAGTATATACTTTCATACAATATAAGTTTTAACATCCAAAAGTATAAGAGTAACTGATACGTTGTAAAAAATCACTTTAATCGAGCACAAATCATGATGCATATTGCAATTGAATACTTCCAAAATTAAATTGAAGATGATCGAAATTTGATTTTACCAAGCTTATAAACAAATTGAATGTTCAAACAAGGCAAACCCTACGATATAACAAATGATATGATCCGAGACCGAATGATCCTAGATCAAGCACTTAAATTATAACTAAAAATTTCAATGCATTAATTTGATGATCAAATACTCTCCAAATCTCATATGCTTGTAGTTGAATTAAATGTCTTGATGAGACAAATCCAACGTGCTCAAGATCAATTAATTATGAATCATTTAGGCACCTACATGCTAAAATAATAATCGATGATTAAGGAAATCAATATATAGATCGTTTGATGGAATGTTTCAAATATTGACTATATTTATTAATCTCCGCTTGAATTATAAAGTGGAGATTATTCAATCTGAAGGAGATTTAAAGCTTCATTTAAGATGATTTTTTATTGCTTTATAAAGATATTTTTAGTGCAATTTTTTTTTTAAAAGCAGAGAACAAATAGTAGTACAAAACTGTCCCAAATAAAACCTTAGTTAAAGTACAATTATAATATCTTAGCATATTTGTATTTTATACATTTTAGAACAGCTTGCAAGCTTCTGCGAGTTTGCTCATTCAGTGAATTTAGTAACAGGCAGTGTATGAGTCATGTACCAAAGCAATTTTCATTAAAAGTTTAATATATTTGACATCCAGAATCAAAGAATGCACTGCAATGGAATGTAATCCTGTACAGTATCTTTGTATCGTCTGTTTCCACTAACCCATATATACATCAAACAATCATCAGTAAAACCAAACGCCACACGCTAACAGTCCAGCAAATGATGCGAGATTTAGGCTTTGTTTGGGACGGCTTTCTTATTGTTTTCTGAAGCAGATTTTTAGTACAAAATTTTTTAGTTGAAGAAATATTTGTACTAAAAAGTTGTTTAAGAAAGAAGCAAGAAGTTATCCCAAACGGAACCTTAGCCATAGAAGCCCTTCTATGCAGCCAGAATTTCATGAAAGATTTCAGCTATGAGCTCCCTATCTGCACTCTGCAGAAACAAATTGAAGTCATCATGGATCTCAATAATCTTCCCAAAGTTCACCAGATACCTCAAGCAACCAGTCTTCAGCTTTGGAAGTCTGTAGAGATGGGCCGTCTGAAGTCTCTCAAGCACGTTCATGGCGTCAATGTCTTCTAAGAGACTATCATGCTGTTTAAGAAAGCAATAAGAAAGTTATCCCAAACGAAACTTTAGCCATAGAAGCCCTCTATGCAGCCAGAATTTTATGAAAGATTTCAGCTATGAGCTCCCTATCTGCACTCTGCAGAAACAAATTGAAGTCATCATGGATCTCAATAATCTTCCCAAAGTTCACCAGATACCTCAAGCAACCAGTCTTCAGCCTTGGAAGTCTGTACAGATGAGCCGTCTGAAGTCTCTCAAGCACGTTCATGGCGTCAATATCTTCTAAGAGACTATCATGACAAGCCTCCTTCAGATCAGAGATGTCATATTTGTCTGCAGCTCTGAGAAGAGCTATACGGTGAGTTAGAAACTCATCAGGTTGGAAGTTGCCATAGATGTAGTTGAGAAAGGCTTGGCAAGCCTCAAATGACATGTCAGAGATGTTCACAGTAGAAAGCTCATTCTCTTGGAGATTGTGGGAGAACATGCTCAGGAAGACAGGGGACCTTGTGGCCAGTACAGCCCTGTGTGCGCCAATGCTGCCACTGCTAGAATTGATGGTGATATCAGTGCGAATGCTTTCAGTTAGCATTCTGGCAAGGGAGCTTAGGGCAGTGGAGAGAGAATGTTCTTTGTTGAAGTAACCGGACCAGATGGATGAGGGCTCTCGACCCTGTGTTTCAAAACCATTTATTTTTAGTTAATTGTCAGATGGAATGATTTGATTGTCCAATCTTGCAGTGGTAGGAAAAAATATTACGTGCGGGTCCGGATTCGTCCGGAGACCAATAAAAATGAGCCACGTTGCCCCAAAAATTACCGCGCTTGGTACCTTGAGCTCGGTACCGCTCGGTACCGAGCGTGGAACGGGACGGTTCTCCCGTCCGATATCCGCACAGAATAATCGCTCCAGTGGTAGGGCATAGAGTTGGACCATTAGACATAACAGTATCACAATCTTAAGCGCTATCCCAACATAAAAAATGGAATACCAAGGCCCATTTCAAAATTTGAGGAAAACGTTGGGATGTTTTATGATAAGTCTTGCTAATTAACTAAGGAGGGCCAAGATCGAGAATAAACCTAGTAGCCTGTAATTTACTTGGAGATATATGCTTGATGATCAGAACCTTAAATATAAGACAAAAGCTACAAATGTATGCTGGTTATGGCACTGCAAAGTGTACATAAATATTCGTCTTGTTGATGCAGTACACCGCAGCATTGCTATCTTCAACTAATTAACTTCTATATCCGTGTTTATCTTAATTATGTAATTGATATTAACTCTGATTATTTTTTCTTTCGTGTTAGTGTTGCCTGCTCGTAGTAGTGCAGTCTTAAAAGTGATGTAGCGGAAACCATTGAAGAAGAAGATGAAAACAGCTTAAGAGAGCAAACAACTCAAGTGAGCAAAGAACAGTAAAAACTGTAATTCAAAAAATATTTCATATATTCACTTCCTCCTACAGCAGTTATACATAAAATAATAATAGAATTTCGAGAAACTTAAAAAAAAAAAAAAAGAGTACAAAATAGGTATACTATTCTTAAGGTATACTATATTTAAGATGCACCGCATCATACTCACCTTCTATCTAAAGAATCTAGAGCAAGATTTGAAAGATCGAGGCGTTGGCTGTGTGGACATACCAGAGGTGTGAGCAGGAGAGGGTCGGAGGCACGCGGGCAAACGGGCGTGTGGAGGCAGACTTGTGGATCGCGAGCGTCTTGGACGCCAGGCACATAATAGAGCTGGGAGTGTCAGGCGTGAGAGTGTGAGACTAAGCTGGGATGCGGGTCGTGCGGTGATTGGATGTGGGATTGGCAAGTACGGGTCATGCGGATAGCTCGAAATAGCGTGGAGGATTGGGAGTTCGTGCCGAGGGAAGACGAGCATGCAGACAGAAGATAGACGTACCGCATGGGAAGCTGTCGTACAGTATGGTTTCCATCGGTGGAGATTGATTTGGTGGTATGGTTGACAGCGGTAGACATGGCACAATCTTATAATTTTGGCTAAAATACCACCTCTATGATTCTTTGTTGGATTCTTTAATAGATTTTTACTCTATGTTCTCTCTTGACTTGATCAAACTTGGCCTTTCTCTGGGGTCAACCAAATTCATTAGAAACCTACATCAAGAGAATCTACAAATCCAATTTCGCTTCTCTATCATCCATGGGCTCAAATATATTTTGCAATAAGGTCTTGATGGTGTTCCTAGAAGTACATTAAATCCAATACAAAGGATGACATTTTTGCGTATTGCAAGATTAACTCAAATGACAAGCCCAAAACAATGATTAAAGTGCCTTTATAGGCCACATGTTCGAATAACATAAATAGCCTCTACATCAAAGAAGGCTATGCAAATCAACACTTAGACCTCCTATTGATGAAACCTTTATGGATCGAGTAGACCCTCTTCACATTATGAATTAAGAGTTTTCTAAAAGTCAATAGGTTACATAAGACCCACTTCGCCTATATAACTCATAAACAAGCGTTGATTAAAGCCAAGACCATCATGGTTGTTAATAGATGATAGATAGTTTCAAACACATTCAAAATAAATGAGGTTAACTTTATGCTCGTGGGCATAACCGGCAGAAGCCAGTCGCCCAGTTCCTTTGAATTGAGCTAGTAAGCAAAAATAGGGAGGGGCTTTCAGCCCCCCTTGTGGGGCCCAACAAACAAATAATTCCATATGTAAAGAGAAGGGTTAAGGAAAGTAATAATGAGAGGATTTGAATTCAAAAGAGGGGAGGGAATTAAGTAAGGCAAGAGGGTTATTTTGGGGGGAATTAAGAAAGCTTATTTAAGGACGATTCTAGGATTTATGGGGATCATGTGTGATTTGATTTATGCTGTAGTTTTTCATTCTTTGAGGGCTTCCTAGCAGAGTCTAGGTAGTTTGGGAGAGTTGATCTACCTCTCAAATTGTAGATCATTGTATCTTGCTTTTGTGTTGAAGTAGTAATCACTAAATCATCCACCGTTTCTCATATTTCTGTTTTTTGTGTTATGTTTTCTTGATGATTTCGTTTCCAAGGCATAATATTAACACAAGCAACTATTGATGTACAGTACTGCATTTTGAAAATTACTAAACACTTACTTTACTATCAAAATTTATCAACATTAGAATGATATTCATAAAAATTCTCATACAAAATGACATGCCTTGCACTTCAAAAAACAAAAAAAAGCAGTTAAATAAAATACATTCTCATGGCTTAACACCAAAAGCACTTGGACTTGACCAAGGAAAACCCTTCAACTTAGCCTAGGAACACCAATAAGGCAAAATTAGAAATTATATATTGACAACTTTAACATCGGAAACTTCAGTAATAGGCTCATTGACGGCATATTTTTGTAGCTTTCACTTTACTGATCAAGTGTGCCTGTGTTTTTAAGAAATTAGAAATCATTTATTAATGATATTCCTTTCTTAAACTATACTCCTTATCTGATAGGTAGGATTCATACAAAGGAATAGAAAAGAAAGAATAATTTTAAATAAATTGTAAGCATGATAATAGCATATACAGAGTTCCATCTACTGAAAAACGCATCATAGGAGCCCATTTGGTGCCATATTTCTTTGAAATGTGCAGAAACTTTGATACATTGTGCATCTTGCAAGCTCTACAAAAAAATGTTTTTCTAAGAAGAGAAAAGTTTATAAAATCTATCTTGAAAAAAAAAGGGTTTTTATGCGAAAATCTACTTGGAAGTATTAAACTATGTAGCAATGATAACTTATTGTTCCAGATTTAGGAGGAGAATAGTCTGATACGAAGAAAACTTTTCTTACAGGTTGGGGCACAATCTTGAGATCTAGGAATTCCACGTCGATGATAAACTTTCCCACAAATGTTGTGTCTACTGCCCAGATAAAATCTTCATTGTTTTTTAGTTGTTTGTCACAAACTCCTGCGTAAAATGGCTTAGATTCAGCTTACATAGTTTTTCATATTCGGGGTTCTTATGTTATCAATAACATAATAAATATTAGCATCGAACACCTAAAATAATGAAATATAAAAGAGCTGAAAAAAAAAAGGTAAGAAAATAGGGGACCTGGATGAGCAAGGGCTTTTCGGATAGGAGCAGAACAAGACACAAGTTTGATGATAAAGGAGGCAATCGGTGGCTGCACCCTTGCCACACTTGATGCTTCAGGGTACAGTTTCACAAACAATTGTTTATTTCTCTCCACAGTCAAGTACCTAATGGTGGTATAGATCATCAAAATCCAAAAGCAGATAAACAATTCATCGATTACCCCAAAGCTTTAAGAAAACTGAAAGCCCTTCTGACAAATAAAATCGAATCAAAATTCAACTTCAGAAAATGAACAGTTGATATTGGTGTCCAAGGTTGGAAATTACAAAGCAGAAGTAGTACACTAGTACTTTTAACAAAAATATAAAACTAAATTAGCTATGCATCTCATCATCTTGATATGTTGGTTGGAAGTTTTGACTATCAATTAAAAGGCTTTGAATTCGACGTCTATAGTGTGTGTGTGAATTTGCTTAATTAACTCAAATATCCAAAAATAAATAAAAAATAAAAACTAATACAGAGATATCACACAGAATATCAGAAAAGATGTTAACAGACAACAAATAGAAATGCATACAAGCAAAATATGAGAGTTCCAAGTTGCGCATGAAAATCAGCAAATCCTCTCCACAATCCAAGGGGTTGTTTGGCTACAAGTAGGATTTAGTAACTTTGGATTAGAATTTACTAAATTCTGAGGTTAATTCAAAAAATTGTTTGATAAGATAGAGATTAAATTTGATTAAATTTTGATGAACTATTTCATTACCTGTTAAGGATTTGAAGTTATTTAGTCAAATTAGAATTTAACAATATCAAATTATTTATTAATATTAGCAAGTGATTAGTAATCATCGAACTTATTGTGTGATAGAAAAGTACTCAAATTAAAGGAAAAGTCTATAAGATGGTGGTGAGACTTGCAATGCTTTATGGTGCATAATGTTAGCCATTAAAAGAGAAGCATAAAATTAAGCTAAGCATTGCAGAGTCAGATGAATGAGTTGCTTTACTCTTATAGACTGAATGTGAAAAGAGCATTAAGTGAAAAAGTTGGAGTAGCTCCAGTTATAGATAAAATTAGAGAGAGTCGCCTTAGATGGCTTGATCACATAAAATGTTGGACCCGATGAGGAGAGAAGATTTATTAGATTCAGCTTATGTTAAGAAAGATAAAGATATACCTAAAAGTATTTAGTTAAAATTTATTAGAAACAATATTTTTTATTAGATTTAAATGAGAATGTGAGTCTTAAGAGTACACAATGAAGAAAAAATGATTTATGTTGCCAACCACTACCACACTTAGTGAGATAAAAGCTTGAGGATGTTGTTGTTGTAGTGGTAATTGATTAATATTGATTATTAAGACTAATTTATTTATATTTAATTTATATGATTAATTTTAATTTTAAAAATTTTTATAAATCCTAATTAAATTACAAAAACAATCTTAATTAAATTAATTAAATCATATTTATTATATTATAATATCACAATTAACTATAAATTAATTAAACGTTAAACTAATAAAACATAAAGAAATTTTATTAGACATCTAAAATCATATGATAAATTTGAATTTCCTCATTATTCTCTTTCTCACATGATTTACTATTACTGTAAGAGATTAAATAAAATAAGCAAAGCTGATAGGAGCGAAAACGGAATTTGAACAGGAGGCGTTATTCTTTCTCTGCCATTGCCTCTCTATTTCTCTAATTTCTCTCATTGGTCTTTGCCTATGCAATGCCTAGAGCCTTAGGCCTATGTGCGGTTTGCTTAAGATTCTGTAGGTATTGAAGTTAGGATATAGACTAAATCCTGCATCCAAACAGCCCCTAAATTTGCAGGAAAACAAATCCAAACCAGTTAGTATTTGACCATTCAGCATGAAGAAACCTAAAACAAACGAGGAAACGCAAGCATGCATACCTGATATGCAGAAAATTTTCTAGATTTAAAAAGAGAAGTAATCGAAACACCTAGCGTAATAGAGAGACTAGTGTGTGTTTGTGTGTGTGTGTGAGAGAGAGAGAGAGAACCAGTTCCAGAGGCCGATCTTGAAGGGGTCAGACTTGCGATATGTACAAGAAGAAAGGGCTTCGATCCGCCATTGAGCAAGCCTGGAAATGGTATCGACTCTGTACGCCGACTCGCTCATCTCCACCGACGACGATGATGAAGCTGCCGCCGCGATCGCTGCGGTGACCTCATTTATGCAATCTAATATTCCCGACAGCTCACCGGCCTTTCCCAGCTTGGCTTCTGCTTCACTTTCCTTCTCATGAACACCAAACCATCGACAAGAATGGTTCCCAAGGAAATCTCAAATCTACAGCAATTCTTCTTCCTCGCCGCAAGAGATTTAAAGGGATGCATAATTCGTTGATGAGTCCAACACGCAAATGCGTGCGAATTTCTTCTATGCAGATGAAGAAGCAATGACTCCCTAAAAAAAGGTTTATTATTTTATTTTAGGCTTTATCCCGAAACAAAGACCGAAGGCGTTGCCTTTATCTTTTGTTGGCTTCGACTCCACTCCAAGCGAGTAATGTTACTTATCGCAGAGATTAGTGTGATGCGATGCTCCAATCTGATGACTGCTTTGTTTTTCTTTGGAATAATTTATTATCTATGCTTCATAATATATAATTAGATAAATATTAGGAGGTCAATTCGGGTCAACGGGTCGGATTCGGGTCGAACCCGGAACGGTTCGGGTCAACACGAACTCGACCCATTTTTAAAAACGGGTCAGGTTTCAGGATTCGGGTCCGGGTCAACCCGACAAGAATGACCCGAAGTTGACCTAAAATTGTTAGTTTTCGGGTAAAAAATTGGGTCAATCTTCTATTTTCAGGTCAAAATAGGGTCAATCTCGGGTTTCCGAGTCAAATAGGTGTTTTCGTGTCAATTTCGAGTCATTTTCAGGTTGCTGGGTCAACCTGAACCCGCCCCGATTTTTAAAACGAGCTGATTTGTTGAACCCGAACCCGCCCCGTTTCGGGTTCGGGTTGATCCTAACCCAGATTTTTTCAGATCGGATTCGGGTCGTGTCAAAAATTGACACCCCTAATAAATATTTTTAAAAAAATTGATCTTATATATTTTATAATAGTTTAAGAAAATATGATGTTTTATTAAATGAATATGTTGGAAATTTTATTTTAGGTTAAAATACCTTCTTTTTTAATGGCAAATTAACACTTTTAAACAGGATTCGAGTCATGATTGAATATTGTTTAAATATGATTTGAATATTATGTAAATTTTGAATAGGATTTATCAAAGTTAGGTATAATATAGTACAATCTAATATCTTTAATGCAGCAGACTATAATATGATACAACACAGACAATCACAATAATTATAATACAAAATATTATAAAATAGATATAATTGAATAATTCAAAAATTGTAACACACTGGAGAGCAATTCAACTATCATAATATAATACAATATAAAATCATTAACTTTGAACAAATAGACAGAGATGAAAATAAAAATATTAAAAACTTTGCCTTAAAACCTTGCTAATACACACGTTGAGATCATCACAAGTAGATAAGTGCCAGAAAGAAGAAGGGCTGGGTAGCCTTTTTCTTCAAAAGTTTGCTCTTATTTTATATTGTTGTATCTTGGAATATTTGAGGCCGTAAAGAGATGTAGAATTTAACATCATAGTTTTGTACGGAGATTCAGAATACAAACGGATAAGAGATATGGATGCAACATTCATAAGAGGCAACAAAATTTTTTACGCGAAAAAATCCTGATAAGGGGAAAAATCCGTTGCTTGGCCCAATCGAAAATAAATCCACTAATATTGATAGTTGATTACAAATAATACCCTAACTCATGCGAAGATTTTGGCTCAATGCAGCTAATATACATCATATAATGCACTTTACATGGTTGGGGCTGGAAGAACACAATTTTATGAGAGAGTGTGTTGTCATCTTCATTTGGTTGGTAGGGTCTTAGTCCCATGGCTCTTCTTTTCTTCCTCTTCCTCTCTCAAGTGAAGAATGATAGGCTATTTATAAATTTTTGAGAGTGACATGGCTAGTAAATAAGGAGAAAAGCAATGATATATTAGGAGGGTTTCATTAGACGTCTGTTATTAGTTCAATTGATCAGAGAGCATTTATTAAGCATTTTGGTGCCTTAATGATGTTAGCATTGAAGGATCTTGGGCTCATTGGATTTGTCTCGTCGAGCTACTCCATTTGACTATAAGCATGTCATATTGAGATATCATTTGATCCTCCAATTGGTGATATGAAGCTTTCAAATATTTAGTGATTATTTGATTTGAGCTCATTTGAGCTTGGATCAAAATGAATTTGGTGTCATTAGGTTTGTCTCATTGAGATGTTTAATTTGGCTATAAGGTTGCTAAAATAGGAGTCTGAATGATCTTGAATTTAATTTTGAAAGTTTAATAATAATAATAATATTAATAATAATTTAAGTTCAAAACATTTCACTAAAATATTTTTTAAAAATTAGAAGAAAATTAGAAACAAAAAAATCTAATTTGTTGCAAAAAATAATTATAAGATAATTTGATTAAAAGAAGAAAGCTTCAATATAAAAAAAAAATAAAAAAAGTAATGTTGCATTTGCAAGCAAGTCGTCATCCATATAGCAACCATATAGCAACTTGATCTTATTTGCAAATTAATATCTTTCCCTAACCATTTGGTTGCATTTGCAAATTAATATTTCTCCCTACCATTTTTAATTAATTATATCTTAAACTAATCATTTTTTAAGATTATGAGAAACCCATCAGGAAAGCCCTTTTAGGGTTTAGAGTGCTACTCCACTCTCCTGAATTATTTCCAGGATTCTGCTCTTGCAATTACCGGCGGCATCGCTCCGTTGTCCTTCCTTCGCTGTGGCTCCTATTTGCGCATTCCTATCTACTAATTTCTACTTGTTACCCGCCAATTCCACTTCTCTTGCTCCAGACCTTCGGGAAAATGCGAAGATCGGCAACTTCCTTACTCCGATCCCTGGGATCTCGATCGTTTTCTTCGCCAGCAACCTCCGCTTTGCAGGAGAAGATAATCGCCGCCGTTCTTTTTGAACGATTGCCCGTCGTCATTCCAAAGATCGATCCTGTCGTCTATGCTTTCCAGGAATTCTCGTATACAATCTCCCACCCTCTTTTTGTTCATATTTATATGACATTTGATGAGTCGTACTTTTTCTATTTTTCGCTCATTTAGTCTTCGATGGGGGCAGCAGTACCGGAGGAAGTACCCTGACGAGGTATTGGGGAGGGGGGAAGCAAGGTAAATTCAGATAGTTGTAGGATTTTGTTGCATTTCATGAGTCAGAGAACATTTATCTACTCATTTACAGAGATTTTGTGTTTGCTCTTCGAAATGGCTATGTTCTAATTTTAATCAATCAATTTGGCGAAACTTTCAATTTACATTTTCTTAATCCTTTATGTATGGCTTCTGTGATTCGTCTACTTTCTGTAATAATGAAACATGTTGTGTCATACAGATGGACTTTCACGACGCTTGCCCGACACATGTTAGAAATGCCATCTAAGTGTATGATTAAAAGAAATAAAAAAAAAAAATTAACAGACAAGCGTGTTCTAAACAAGTGTCCTAACAAAAAGGTTTTAGCTTTCAAAGCATCTTACAAATAAATTTAGGTAAACCTCCTCTTCTCTTTTATTTTGAAATATGACTTAACTAAAGTAATAGTTACTTCATCCTAATTTTATTTTTCTTATTATGCTTAATTTATTTATGATTTTCTTACAATGTTAATTTTCTTATTAAATGATAAAAAATTTCAACTTTAAGCCAAAAAATTATAATATCATATTAATATCTCTTCTACAACATGTATTTAATAAAATTAAATATATTTTTTTTTAAATTTTTTTGTGCAATTAGAATAAATTATTATCATATGAATTCATTTCATATTTATTAAATTTATTTATTCATTTGTTATTTTTAAGATATATGAATGTTTCTCAAAATCAATTTGGATTTATGTTGGGTAGGTCTACTATGGAAGTTATACATTTATTGAAAGGTTTGATGGAGAAGTATAGAGAGAATAATGACGATTTAAATATGATAATTATTGAGTTAGAGAAAGCTTATGATAAAGTTCCAAGAGAAGTGCTCTGGAGAGTTTTATAAAAGAAATAGATTAATAATGCTTATATTCAAATCATTAAGGATGTGTACACATGAGCTATTACTTGTGCTCAAACACAAGGTGGTTTGACCAACTATTTTCCTATTTTAGTTGGATTACATCTAGGATTAGCTTTGAACCATATTTTTTTGCTTTAGTCATGGATGTTCTTACTAGGCATTTGCAAGAGGATGTACCTTGGTGTATGCTATTTGCTGATGATATTCGTTTTCTTGATAAGACTAGAGAGGGAGTTGAATATATACTTGAATTATTGAGGTCAACCTTAGCATTTAAAGGTTTTTGTTTGACTAGATCTAAAACTGAATGCATGGAGTGTAATATTAGTAGTAATAGATCTAGTGGGGGGTTGTGACTTTGAGCGATTAAGTCATTAACAAAAGTACATGTTTTAGATATCTCGAGTTTATTATTCAAATTGATAGTGAAATAGATGGAGATGTTATTAGTAGAATTCAAGTTGGATGGTTGAAGTGGAGGAATGCATCGAGCATGTTGTCTGATAGGAAAGAACCTCTCAAACTTAAGGGAAAATTCTATAAGATGGTGGTGAGACCTGCAATGATTTATGGCACAGAATGATAAACATTAAAAGAGAAGTAGAAAATTAAGTTAAGTGTTGCAGAGATGAAGATGCTCAGATGGATGAGTGGATTTACTCTTATAGATAGAATGTGAAATGAGTATATACGTGAAAAGGTTGGAGTAGCTCCAATGATGGCAGATAATATTAGAGAGAGTTGCCTTAGATGACCCGGTTAGAAGAGTAGATGCATTAGATTTGACCTATCTCAAGAAAGGTAGAGGTAGACCTAAAAAGATTTGGTTAGAAAATATTAGAAATGACTTTTTTTATTAGATTTAAATAAGAATTTGACTCTTAACAAGACAAAATGGAGAAAAAGGATTCATGTAGCTGACCACACTTAGTGGGATAAAGGCTTGATATTGCATGTAATGTTATTCTTGTTCTAGTAAAACTATTTTTGTGTTTATAGAAATGTGTCCTATTGTATACTGTTTTTTCTTCCTATTTGATTCCCACTAATTTAATGCAGTCACTCTATTGGTTTATCTTTAACTCTTTGTTTTATATGCAAAAGTTCCTAAGCTTGTTTTTTGCACCTTTCTCATTATTGGGTTCGGCCTCTTGAGTCTTGACTCTCTCTAATGTAATCAACTTGAAATTCAAGTTCTATTTGAACTTTTTGACAGTTTTCTCATATCTTCTGTCAATCCTCCATGAATCGGTTTCCTAAAGCACATAAACTATGGCTACTCCCATGTAATAATTAGAAGGAGAAGAAGGTGTACAATTTCATGAGCTTGAAGAGTATAGCTTAAGTTCATTTATCGTTGTGTTTCTATTTCCGGAACATCAAACCTGTGTTTCTTTTAGTGATTCTTTCTATTAATTTCATGATTTCTTACAAATATAATAAAGAGTTTCAAGCTTCTATTATGAACTAATATTTGAATTAGTTTAACTTTAATGTCATTTGGAGATCAACCATCTAAAATCTGGCAAATTTACCACTATGGTAAACAGGGGAAAAGGTGACTACCAGATTGATTATGTGCCAGCTCCACGGATCACTGAAGCTGACAAGACCAATGACCAGAAGTAAGTTCATGGGGTTTTTTTTGTTCTATATATATTTACACGTGTAATGAGTGAGCATATCTTATGCATTTTTCATGTGCACATCTTATGTTTCCACTAAAAAAGTTAATTGTTACTATAAACTAATACTTTTTTTTTCCCATTGCAATATGATGATCTATTTGGAGTTCATTGGGGGGGTTCTCTTGTAACTTTAAACCAATATCATAGATCCTATCTGAGCAAATGTTGAGTTCTGACCTAAATGAGTACATCATTCACTACCTTGGGTGTATTCTTTTTACTCAATTCACATTACTGTAATAGTAATAACTATTGGAGAGAAATGCTCTCTTCCCCTCGCATATTTTTTCTAATGTATTTTTTTTTAATATGTAATCATGTTCCTTTCCTTCATATACTTATTTACCTTTTTTGTTCTTTTAAGTGAAGTGCATTAAGACTGAAGATCAAAAAGTGTTTTTGTTAGAAGAGGATATTTAACAAAGGCGAAAGAGATATTTTGATAAACTTTTCAATGAAGATTGTGAGAAAACGATTATCTTTAGCGACCTTAGTACGCTAAATGAAAATAAAGGGTTTTGTTTTTATCAACGTATTAGTAAAATTGAAGTTAGAGAGGCTTTAAAGAAAATGAAGTGTGGAAATGCTTAGATAATAAAGAAATTTCTTAGCTTACTAAACTTTTTAATATTATTTTGAGCATATACGTGAAAAGGTTGGAGTAGCTCCAGTAGAAGATAAGATTAGAGATAGTCTCCTTAGATGGTTTGATCACGTAAAACGGTGGCCTTCCGATGACCTGGTTAGGAGAATAGAGGCATTATATTTGACTTATGTTAAGAAAGGTAGAGGCAGATCTAAAAAGACTTGGTTAGAAAATATTAGGAATGACCTTTCTTTATTAGAAGGACACAATGGAGGAAAAGGATTCATGTAGCCGACCCCACGTAGTGGGATAAAGGCTTGATGTTGTTGTATAAAAAGATGTCAGATGAGTGGAGATGAGTGCATTGATTTCTATTTTTTAAAATTAAAGTGATGCACAAGATTGTGCGAATTATAGAGGAATTAAGTTAATGATCAATACTTTAAAACTATGGGAGAGAGTTATGGAACATAAGTTACGACATGATACTAATGTTTCTCAAAATCAATTTGGATTCATGGTGGGTAGGTCTACTATGAAAGCGATACATTTATTGAGAGGTTTGATGGAGAAGTATAGAGAGAATAAGGAGGATCTACATATGATATTTATTGATTTAGAGAAAGCATGTGATAAAGTTCCAAGAGAAGTGCTCAAGTCGTTAAGGATATGTACGCAAGAGCTATTACTTGTGTTCAAGCACAGTGTTTTGACCAAGTTTTTTCCTATTTCAATTGGATTATATCAAGGATCAGCCTTAAGCCCATATCTTTTTTGCTTTAATCATGGATGTTCTTACGAGCATTTGCAAGAGGTTTTATTCTTGTGTATGCTTTTTGTTGACGATATTCTTCTTGTTGATAATACCAGAAAGGTAGTCGAAGGTAAACTTGAATTATAAAGGTCAACCTTAGAGTATGAAGTTTCTCGTTTGAGTAGATCTAAAACTAAATATATTGAGTATAATTTTAGTAGTAATAGATCTAGTGGGGGATTGTGACTTTGGGCGTCAAGTCATTAATAAGAGTACACATTTTAGATATTTGAGGTCTTAGAGTGATCGTGAAATAGATGGGAATATTATTAGTAGAATTGAAGTTGGATTGTTGAAGTGGAGGAATGCATAGGGGCTTGTTGTGTTATAGAAAAGTCCCCCTCAAACTTAAGGGAAAATTCTATAAGATGGTAGCGAGACTTGCAATACTTTATGGTGTATAATGTTGGCCATTAAAAGAGAAGCATTATATTAAGTTTAGTGTTGCAGAGAAGAGGATGTGCAGGTTGATGAGTGGATTTACTCTTAGAGACAGGATACAAAATGAGCTTATACGTGAAAAGGTTGCAGTAGCTCCACTGCAAGATAAGATTAGAGAGAGTCGCATTTGATGGTTTGGTCACATAAAACGGAGGCCTTCTGATGACCCAGTTAGTAGAGTAGATATATTAGATTTGGCTTGAGTTAAGAAAGATAGAGGTAGACCTAAACAGACTTGGTTAGAAAATATTATAAATAACTTTTTTTTATTAGATTTAAATGAGAATTTGACTCTTAGCAGGACCTAATGGAGAAAAATAATTCATGTAGCTGACTCTACTTAGTGGATAAATGCTTGTTGTTGTTGTTGTTCTTTTATTTTCACAGGCTTTGGCATTTGTTACAGTTTTTTAACTTTTTTTTTTTAATGTGGATATTGTTAAGCTTGGTGGTTGGAGAATTGAGACTAGCATCTCATGGGATTGTTTGCTGATTTTATGACCATTCACATAAGCTTTGAATTTGACGATGTCTTTAGTTTTCTTTGGGTTAGATTGTTATTAACTGCTGTAAAATTCCATGCATAGAATTTGAGATGTGAGCATATTTAAGGTGGCTATGGATTGATATAAAAATAGCTTCAAGATAACATAGATTTTTTTTTTCTTTTTTCTTTTTTTTTCATTTCAAACTAAATTGGAAAGTTCCACTAGAAAGAGGTGATTTGAAGTGCTTTCATTTTCTCAGAGCATGATGACTGTACAAACATTGAGCAATGCCTCAAGTTCATCCAATTTTATGAAAATTTCAAGAAATATGACTTTGACGTTAGGTCTTTTGGACTAGAGTCTAGAGATGTTGATCAGGTTAAGTTATTTGCACCAGCACAGGCGAAGCGAGATGAGAATGTATGATTGGACCCACGTTGCCAAGATGAACGTTTCTCTTGGAGGCTGTTTCGTTGGGTATCTCGTGTTCCTTTAATGTATATGTTAGTGGAGACGAATGCTATAGAACCATCATTTTTTCTTCTTTATGTGCTAGAACCAAGTAATAACATTTATTTTATAATATCTTATAGATTAATATGATTTAATAAAGTAAAACATTACAAGTCAGCAGGCTTATGACTTGGGCTTCGTTTGGAAAAGTTTCTCATTGCTTTCTAAAATAGCTTTTTAGTTCAAAAAAGTAATTTTAAAATTCATTAAGAAAGCTGTCCCAAACGAAGCCTTAAAGTAGCTTGTTTTTAGTGCATCCATTTATGTCCTTTTTGTACATTACTGTTGTTTCTTAGTATTTTGTTTTTGCTTTTTTGTTGAGGTCATTAAAGAGAGCACTCGATAGAAGGTTATATCTTCTCCTATATGGTAGCACGTATGGAGCTCCTAACAAGAAACCTGTTTGGCACTTTCCTGAAAAAGTTTATGAAAATGAAGATACATTGAGATTGGTAAGATCATATTCAATAACTTGATTTTTCTCGTTACTTTTTTTTTTCTCGGTGGTGATGATGATGATGATCCCCATATAGTGGGAGAAAACTTGATATTATTGTTGTTGTTGATGATGATTATATTTTTCTTTTGAAATTTGTTAGAAAAGGAATAACCATAAAAAGTTTATAATGCTGATTTTACAGTGTGCTGAATCAGCACTAAAGTCCGTGCTTGGTGGGCTTGATCATACATACTTTGTTGGGAATGCTCCTTTTGCGCACATGGTTATAGAAACAACAGAAATCTCCCATGATTCTACTCGCTTCAAGGTACCATAGTTTTCTTCCCTTTTTTTTTCTGTAACAGTAGCTAGCGTCTATTTTTAGAGAATATATAATGATTGTTTTATGTAAGGGGATATTTGGTTTAAATACTTTAGGGATAAAGTAGAGTAAATGCATGGGTTTTGAAAAGTTTGACATTTGGTTGGACGAAAAGTAAATCTAAGGTTAAGTGAAGTAAATACAGTCTATTTCATTCTAGTTCATTTTTGAGATAAACTTTCTAGCACAATTTTAAGAGAGAACCGTTTACACCGCTCCAAAGCTTGTTTGACCACCGCTGACGGCCACCGTCTCCACCGCCACCCCGCTACAAACCGCCACCCTCCACTATCCGCCACTTGCCGCCACCATCGAACACTGTTGGTCCCCGTACATCGCCGGCCACCACCCACCTCCTGCCATCATCCACCATCATCCACTGCCGGCCACCACCGCCCACCATAGCCGACCGCCGGTCACCACACACCACCAACCACCCCAGGCACAACCATTTTACACTTTATATTGCATTTACTTCAAAAAAAAAAAGTCGTGCATTCAATCCAAGCAATTCCAATGCATTCATTTTATACTAGATTCCTTTTTAAGACAACCAAACAACCCTTAAATATTCTATTAGGCATTGCCTCTCCACCTTTTACAATTTCATTTCTTTGTACTAAGAAGATACTGCATTCTCATACTTTCAGCAATTGCCTTTGACATTTTAAAAAATTATTTATTTTCTAGATTGGTGGGCTCTTGAAATTATGACTAATTATTTTCTTGAATTCATGCCTTGGACAAGGTTAGTGTGAGATCCCTGGCTGAAGAGAATTCGGTTCCTTCTGTAAAATGTTGTTGTTATAAACAGTAATACAACAATACAACAACAACGACGACATCAAGCCTTTATCCCACTACGTGGGGTCGGCTATAACATGCATGAAAAAATTTCGAACTTGAACTTGCTTACCTTATGCCATTATATATCCTTTGATCTTATTATTAGTTATTTTTATTAGAAGGGCAACAGTCGTCACATGTAATAGATTTTTTTTGTTTGTTAACATTAACAGAGTCCTTGAGCTCAAATTAGGCAACCTGTAAGTGAAGCCCCAAGCGCATCAATACCATGGCATCTTTTTAGTAGTTGAATTGAGATGCTTTGGCAGCGGATATTTTACCCTCAACCTCAGAGCGTCATTTAGAGAGCTATCAACGTCTTAGAATTTGGTTCGTCCTAGATAAAATAGGCAAGCAAGAATTCAAACCTTTATCATCTTTTTTAATTTTGTTTTGTTTGCAATTTCATATGTGATTACATGCATATATGAGGGTTTGAGGTTAGTTTCATGGGAGAGCCCTAAGAGGCAATGAATTAAGCTTGAGGAGAGTCAAGGATTGATTTGCAGAGTGATTTTTCCCAAAGTCTTTAGTGGACTTGATTAATTTTTTGTTTAATTTATTGGGTTCGTTATCGATTTCTAAGTATGTTTAAGCTTGGCATGAATTTATTGGGTTCATTAAGGTTCTCTTTTTCATTGCTAATTTTTATAATTCTCTCATCAAGTAGATTATGGTAACGATGAATTGAAACTTCGAATTTTCATTCAGGAATTTAGGTGTTCCTATTTGATTACTTTCTCATCTAAATAATGAGGAGTTTGGTGTTTGAACATTTTGTTTTAACCCTGCTTCTCCTCACTCATCTAAAAAGGTTCAAACGCCAAACTCCTATTTATTTAGATGAGAAAGTAATCAAATACGAATACCTAAATTCCTGAATAAAAAATCGAAGTTTCAATTCATCGTTACCATAATATACTTCAATGAAAAAGAGAACCTTACTATAAATGACAGAGGTTGACTAATTTCATCCAAATAGCTCGAGTATAATACAACCTGCAATCTCCTCCGACGCCTCCTTAAGAGTAAAAGGTGCCATATGTGAAGTTTAACCCTCCCCCCAAGTAGGAGCAATTATTACGTTTGGTCATCAAATGCGTTCATAGACCAATAACCACTCGCCACATCACCTAAAACTCGGTATTGAGCACTCGGTATACATTCGGATTTCACCGGACGTAATAATTGTTCCCCTAGTAGAGCTAGAGCTGGGCGGCCACGATGGTGATGAAATGGAGGATGAAACCACACAAAAATTAAAAATTAAAAACCCTACTTTTTCTAGTGTTAGATCTCAATTTATAAGATCGCATAGCTTGGGGGAAGTTCTTAAACTAAGTATCATTAATAATTAAATTATATGATTAAGTATGTTGTAAAAAAAAGGCATAGTATGCGTTTAACGGATGACTTACTTGCCCGGTCAGCATTTAACAAATTTAAAAAATAAAAAAAAAGTACTGTAACAATTTGCCTATTAAACGGATGGTTTGCTGCAATACAAATTTATTTTTCCTTCATTTTTTTAAATCAAATTTATATTTTTTAAAGAAAAAAGTATTTAAATTTAATCTCTCAAGTAAGAAATCAATATTCTTGTGAGAATTATCTTCACGTAACCCTGTTTTTTTGCCCAATTGACCTAACCCGAGACGTTACTAGCTTGTTCAAGAGCACAACACAGCACCAGCATCCAGTGTGGGCCGCGTGCGGGACTGCACAAGCGCAACGAGTGCGGGTGCGCGACTGTGAATTGTGAGCGGGCGAGGGAGATCCATGAGTGCACGATTGCACGCAGGTGAGCGAGGGCTGGAGCGAGACCGCACAGCGCGAGTGTGGGTGCAAGTGTGCGAGTTCGGTGTGAGCATTGCGATTGTGGATGCTAGCACCGGGGGTGCGCGAGTCAGAGGCAATCTGCTGCGTAGGGTTGACAGGCGAGACTAGCTAGTTCGGGACAGGGACGGGTCAAATCCGGGTCAAATCGGTTGGCAGATTGACCCGAACCCAACTCAAATTTTCAAACGGATCATATATTGAAACCTGAACTCGGCCCATTTGTCAAATGGGTCATTAAACGAGTCAAGTCAAAACCGAATTTTCCGGGTCAGGTTATCGAATCTTGTCAATAATTGACACACCTACTGCAAACTACAGTCTTAAAAATTGTAACAAATATGAATAAACTGAATTAATCACCTGGAATTAGCCCAGAAAGTTTTGTCAATCCTCTATCACTATTATTGCAATGGTGCTACAAGTTACCAAATCACTATTATATTTCATCGCATCAATTTCGATTAGGCAGTGATTCATAGTCAGTCCCACAGTTACCAAAGCTCTGAACTATTTTGCACGTCAAGCTTATCTTCATCGAGTAACTGGCAACACTATGCTGACGCCTAATGCTCATACTTCCAAGCTACTATTGTTAAATTTTTTCCCTCGAGACTTATTTTGTTGTTCTTGACAGAGATTCTTTTTCAAATCACAAGTTATTGGTGTTACCAAATTAAACGTTGGAAAGTGTGAAGATCATGTATGGGTGACGAAGGATGAACTGATCAAGTATTTTCCTGACCAGGTTGAGTTTCTCAACAAGATGATCATCAGTTAAAAAATTATCTCTAAGCTGTTGTTTGAAGGATTATTCTCACAGGCTTATTAAGGCCCGGGGCTTCTTCATGATATCGAATCTCAGGCCTCTGATCGTATTTTCTGAAGAACTACTTCTTGATATAATGGTCATATTTCACTCAACCATTTTGTGATCCTTGAAAGGGAAAGCAGGTCAACATTATAAACATATATTTTTTTCTTCTGGATATCATGCAGAGGAAGAAAAAAAGCCTTTGATGAAGTGATTATGCATTGCACATTATGTATGTGCATGTAGTGCTCTTAATTTAAATGTTTTAATTTAATGATCTCATTCAAATGAATGATAAATATAACTATTCTTGATTTGTGAAAATGTTTAAGGCTTTGTGTGGGATATTTTTCTTAATTGTTTTATTTATCAGGTCGCAATCATAATTTTTCTTTGGTTATTATTTTTTATTATTTTCAACAAAAAAATTGCACTAAAAAAATTATGTTTTATAACAAATTTTAAATGTTATTTTTTTAAGCAATTTTATAAAACAGTTAGAAAGTTGTCACAAATGAAGCTTAAATTTGATTTAATATTTAGAGTATGGATGTTTTTTCATAAATTTTTTTAATTGAAAATTTTATATTTAAGTATTATATTGGAACAATCAATATAAAGATGGATTGTTCATCTTTGATGATAGTTTTACTTATGAAAGTGAAATCATAATTTTTGTTTGACTATTAATTTCTCTCAATTTGATTGTCTGTTTGAAATATTTCAAATCTTTTAGGATTCTTTGGTATCTTTGTAAATCCTCAATCAATTTTCTAAGAGTCTTTTACATGAGAAATTATTCTATGCGGACGTCGGACGCAGCTCTCGTCCGGAGGCGAATCAGGTACAGTCATGTTAGCGGTATCGAGCTGCGGTACCGAACGGTATTGAATAATATTGAGCTGCGATATCGAGAGAAGAGGAGATGTGATGCATTCCGGTTGGTTTCTAGATAGCGTTCGGCGCCCGCTCAGAATAATTTTTCCTTCTTCACAAAATTTTAATATGAATAAATTTGCTAATGTTAAGTGTTTGCATTCAATGAATAAGATGGAATTATCACACCATTTTTCATAAAGATACTACAAGCACGTTACTACTACTTGTATCAATGATGGATGCAAGGGCTAGTTAGCTCAAGTTAAATGATTACCTGTTACGCCTTTGCTTAATCCCGAAGTTTCACCGCCACCATTTTCCTTCTACAAAAAGCTTGGCCAGCTTTGCTGGAGACCGTTCTGTGTTCTCGCAAGGCATTAGCAGCTCCAACTTCAATGGAGGTTCGCTCTCTCATCTTTCATCTTGTTTTATATTTGCTTCTTGTTGTTTATTAATGGGTTCTTTTATGTGGCAATTTTGTTAATTTCAAGACTGACTGATATAATTTTTCATGGAGAAAATGATGTCAAGATATTATGATCAAAATTTTAGTTATGCCGATAGAACTGAAAGCTCTTCGATATGCTATAAGATTAGTGCAATATATTATTAATTAGTATTATAGAAACTTTAGAACAGATCTAAGGGCTTTGAGCCTCATCGTGATAGCCTCACATAAATTTTGGTCTAGTGGAGTTCAAAATTTTGAATTTATTTTAAAATTAGTATAATATGTAGATTTACATAAATCTTAAAACACATCTAAAGATTTTTTTTTCAATCTATGATTATTAGAAAAAGAACTTATGTTCTTAAGTTTCTTCGAGTTTTCTTGCTTCTTTCATGTTCAGTGCAGCAGTTTAGATAGAAGATTAATGTTTCGTTTCGGACGGCATTCTTATTCCTTTTTGATATGGCTTTTAATGCAAAAATTAGAAAATTTATACTGGAAATTAAACTGTTTTAAGAAGCAAAAAGAAAGCAGTCCTAAGGCTTCGTTTGAGACAATTTTTTGTTACTTTCTAAAGCAATTTTTAAAAAATTTTTGTACTAAAAAACTATTTTAAAAATCAATTAGAAAGCTGAGACTGAGACGGCTTTCTTATTACATTGTTTTTCATAATGTAACTATAGTTTTTATTTGACAACTGTATTTTTAATATTTTTAAGAAACTTTTATGTTAGGAAGTTACTTTTTATATCTATTTTTTTAAAAGAATATTTTTTTTCTTATAATAATTTCATTCACTTTTATAAAAAAACTACGACCATTTCAAATAGACTCTAAATTGATTGTTGGCTTGACTAAAAATTGACTAAATGCGTTTAAATATGAGTCCAAATTTAGGAAAATAAATTTGTGTAAGGAGCTCCTAACAAGCATAACAGTTTTGTGCCATAAACCTTTCATATAAATATATTCTAAAGTTTTTTTTATTATTAGAATATTTTTTAATTAATTTTTTTTATGTATCTAATTGAAATTGTGAATATCACTAATTTATGTTGATAAGAGAATTAATAACTTTCATCTTACAATTTATGATCATAATATAAATAAATAAATATATCCAATTTAAGCTATCCCAACAAATAAAGCTATATATTACAATTGCATTAATTCATATTAGAAAGCCATTTATCGTTTGTTATATGTTGAAACATTCAGAAGGTTGAGCTCAGAGTAAGCTTGCACTGCAAAGCCTGTGAGAAGACAGTTCGAAAAGTGCTCAGCAAGTTAAAGGGTAAGCTATTTTCTAACCCTCCATTAATTGTTTATTCATACAATAAAACTTAAAATTCTCTAAATAAATTATCAAAATTTATGTATTTACATGCAATATATCACAGTAATTAAAGCTAAAAATATGGGTGTCAATCATGGGCGGAGGGAGGGGGGGCAAGGGGGGGCACGTGCCTTCTAATATTCAATACCAAGTTCGAAGGTTGTACTTGCATAGGGGTCCATGTCTCCCACGCAATCATGAATTTCTTTGAAAAAAAAATTGTGCCCCCCCTATAAGAAGTTCCTGGCTCTGCCACTGGTGTCAATATTTGATATGGCCTAAAAACCCGACTCGAATCCGACCCGGAAATTTCAGATTCGGGTTAGTATTTTCAACCTGTTTTAAAAATCGGGTCAGGGTCGGGTTGACCTGGAAACCTGTTAATGACCCGGAATGAACTATCTGCCCGCTTTGCCCGCGTCACATCGGCTATCGAGACATTGCCGCATCGCATTGCTTTCCTTGCATGTCGCGTCAACGCTTCTAGCGTCTGCCCGCAATCCCTCTGCCTGCGAGCTGCTGCCACTATCATGTCTATTGCGAGTCGTCGGTGCCCGCAATGCCTCATCGCATCTCCTGCAACTATCGTTGCCGGCCGCCGGAGTTACGCAATTTCTGCCACTGTCGAACCCGAAGCGGAGTTATGGGAATTGACTTGCGGAATAGGTGGGGTTGACCTGAACCCATAGCTAGTCAGGATCAGGTCCAAAAAATCAACCTATTTGCAAAAATGGCTTGGGTTCGGGTTGACTCAAATAGTGTCGGGTCAATCACTGATTCGGCCCGTCGGGTCAATTCCAGATTCTGCCCGAATCCGACCCGTGATCCGAAATTGGCACCCCTAACTAAAAAGAAAAAAATTCAGATATTAATTTAATATGCGGTAGCATTCTGAATTCAGTGGATTCTGAAATCAAGTAAACCATTCAACAGGTGTAACCTGTGTGGAAGTGGACATGAGATCGAGCAAAGTAACAGTATTGGGTTACATTGACAAGGATGCAGCCATGAAAGCCATTCGGAAAACTGGTAGAAGGGCAGAAGTGTGGTCGAGTTGTTGCCATAGGTCCAGTAACTCAGTTACAGATTTCCAACAGGGGAGGTTTAAGTGTATATTTTGGAAGTGGAAGAAGAGGAAGGATTCTATTATTTCTAAGTAGTATATATCTATTTGTATTTGTGTTTCTATAACAATTTCAGTTAACTATTGACAATGTTATTTGTTAATATATCTATATGTATTGGAAGGTTAAAGTGTATATTTTTTTTCTTCTTCTTGGCCTGCCACAAATCCACTGACTTAAGTCGTACAACATATATTTATCACTTATCTACATGAACCTTGGATTGTTCCAGTCCTTTAGGAATGAACTGCCCCACAAATCAGTATCTTCTGATAGAAATCCATTATCAATGTATATTTTGTGAATTAACTTTATATGACGTTTTCAAAGAATATTGAAGCCCCTAACAGCTTCTTTTCTACTCGTGTCAAGTACCCATTGATCAATTGAACTCTATGATAACATCCTTCAGATACAAAGGCATCCATTGCTCTCTCCACAACTTTATCATAATCAATGTATATTTTGTGAATTAACTTTATATGACGTTTTCAAAGAATATTGAAGCCCCTAACAGCTTCTTTTCTACTCGTGTCAAGTACCCATTGATCAATTGAACTCTATGATAACATCCTTCAGATACAAAGGCCTTGTATAAATAGCAAAGTTTGTAGATGTACAAGAATAAGGTTGAATATTCATGTCCCAACACACAACATCAAGATCAAATGTAGCTAGTGCTTGTTTGCAACAAAAAAGAACAATATGGTTAAAATATTGATTACCACCATAGTGCCTTACCATGAGCATCCCCTATAAGTACTTGTAAATTAGTTGCCTTGTAAAATTTTATTTGTCAGGACATTCATGTTGCCCTAGAGATCTCAAGTCTTGGTAATATAGGGGTAATCAATACATTGATCATATTAACATCTTTGTTGTAAACAAGCAATGATTGTGTTTGATCTTAAACTAAATAGTTGACATACAACTTTATTCTTGTACATCTACGAACTTTGTTATTTATATTGGCTTTTGTAGCTAAAGGATAACATCATGGATTTGGATTCTTTGTCACATAAGCATGTTCGTTCTGGGTACTTGAAGCTAAGTGAGAAAAGGATATCAAGGGCTTTATCATTCATTAAAAAACATGTATTATAAGGTTATTCCACAAATAAAATATATTGATTATGATAAGGTTATGGAGAGAGTAATATATTCTCATTCATATATATACTAGCTAGTTTGTGGGGTTCATACCTCAAAGAAAGGAACTATGCAAAGTTTATGCAAATATCTAATAAATGTGGTGTTATAGTGATGTGTGAATCCCTCAAATATATAGGCTTGGGGTAGCCAAGAAATGTCTAAGTTCATTTCATTATAGTGATTTTGTTCATATTGAATGACTTCATTAGATTCAATTATAATATTAATGCAAACTTGCTATATAAAAGAAAAAAAAAGCCATAAATGAAATATGCTAAATATGAATATCCTCAATAAAGAGAATATATTATGCTAATAATGATAAAGATTTCTACTATAAATTCTAGACATATATTTTAATATTTTTATGGCAATAAATAATTTCAATAAATTCTAAATAACTTT